TTGAGGTGGATTCGTTCTGAGAGGAGCGCGGTGGGGGCAAGAGGCGCCGAGTCACCACAGAGGCTCCGGGAGCCTGGTGAAAACAGGCCAGAGGCAAGCAGCCCGCAGACTCGTTTATTTCAGTTGGTACAGAAGCTTATATAGCCAAGGCAGCCAAGCTGATCAAGGGGTGGTTTATGCCCCAACCAATCACAACCTGTTGCCAGGCAGTATCCAAAGCCATCCAGTCACAACCTGTTGCCAGGCAGGCTCCATTGCCAGGTGGGTTTCAAAGCCATTCCTGAGTAACTGACGCTTGCTTGCCAGCAGCCATCTTGGCATGGCCTTCTCATTCCACCACAAAGGAACTGAGATTTTTGTGGCTCTTCTCCAATATGGCAATATTCTGCACTGAAGGAAACAGTCCTTACTTGGGAAATTGTTCTTGTAGCAGAGAGAAAAGCAAAACAACTGACAACAAGATGCAATGGACATCAAGTTTCTCCGTCTCAAGATCCCCTGGTCACTGTCATCGGCAAAGCCGGTTACAGGACTAACCCCAACTTCAGGGACCCATAGGACATCCAGAATGTGGTCCAGCAGGGAAGGTCACTGGCCAACAAGTCATACAGTATATGCGCACAAAGGCTGTTTCCTTGTAGAAGGTTAGGTTGTGATGCATGGGAACAAAGGGGCCATTTACTAGAGTGCCTAACCATTCTATTCTAAGAGAATTTCTAGTCTGAGCAAACTCTCTTCTCCATAAAGGGAACATTAAATAAAATATACATGTATATATTTTTAAAATATTTACTTATTTTATTTGAAGGTCAGAGTTACAGAGAAGGAGAGGCAAAGGCAGAGAGAAAGAGAGGTCTTCCATTCGCTTGTTCACTCCCCAAATGGCCACAACAGCCAGAGCTTGGCCAGAACAAAACCAGGAGCCAGGAGCTTCATCTAGGTCTCCCTGTGGGTGCAGGAGGCCAAGGACTTGGACCATCTTCTGCCATTTTTCTAGGCACATTATCTGGGAGCTGGATCAAAAGTAAACCAGCGCCTGAAGGGGATGTTGGATCTGCAGATGGAAGTTTTACCCAATGCACCACAGCACTGACCCCTTCCATGTATATCTTAATCCATGCATATGAGGTATCTTTAAAAGATTCAAGAAAAATGCATATAATGAAAAAAACTGCATGTGAATTTCAAAATATTTTTGTATCAAAATAAACTTATTTTCATTTCCATTTTCCACACCCTCATATCTTTTTTGAAGTACCCTCATATCTGTAAGGTAAAAATCTATCCATCTAGGATATGAACCTGAAATACAGAGAGAGCTTTAAAAATATTTAAGTGTTCCCACTGTTGGGAACTGAAGCACAGACAGTCTGTGTTCATCCATCTCAAAGGTATGGCCCCTCAACAATGTTAGGAGGTAAAATATTGGAAAAATGTATAAGGATAAAATATTCAAAATGGCATCACTGCTCAGGGTTCAAGAGTGTCATTGGTCAGGATGGTCTACCCCTGGACCACGGATGTCTAATAACTTGACTTCACCCAAAAAAGCACTTACTGAGCCCCTCCACTCAAAAGGGAATCAAGACACTTAATGCTGAGAGAGCCAGACCCTGGGTCCCACTGAAGAATGCCTCTGCACCCTCCCAACTACCTGATTCCACTGCACTGCACTTGCTACTGCCTCCCACAAGACCTGTCAATCACAGGCCACTGCACCCTGGTAGGTATCTGCCCACTTCATTAGGAAACAGGACCACACATGTGTACGCCCCAAGCCACATGAAGCCGAGGAAAGCGATGTCTGATCTGAAGGAGCAATAAACACATCAGATGCAGTGGGAGGCACATTGATGTCTGAATTAAACTCATTAACATCCTCGCACTCCTTTTCTTGGTGGGTCACAGGCCAGAGCCAGGATTCCAAGCATGTGTGACAGGCATCCCTAGGAGATCTAGACTACAATGATAAAAGAGGCATAATTATAAGTTAGGGAAATAATTTGAATGATTTTTTTAAACTACTTAGAGCTTGGAGCTTGGAACTCCTTAGTTTGCAAGTCAGAGCTGGCAGGCTTACATGAGGGCTTTGAATATACATCGCAGCAGAGAACAACAGAAGGAAGATGGGAAAAATAGAAACACATGTACTTTTTAAAAGTTTTCCATTTTTTTCTTAATCTTGCACATCACATCTTAGAGGGAAGATTTACTGTAAATATGCTCAGGACTGAAAAACACAAATATGATATTGTTTTCTTTATTGTAGGAGTGCCAAAAAGCAACAAGGTGCTACTAGACCCTCAGTTTGAATTCTTACCACAAGCTATCCATTGTTTAAGGGCGTACAGCCTATCATAAGATTTTACCCTGAGATAAGGACATAAGGTTTCAGGCTAGAAGCAATCGCTTTATAAATGTCTGATAATAAACCAGGCAACTCTGAATGCAAATAAATTAATAACTGTGAGATTGTAAACTGTGGCAAATTTCCTTTCAGCAGGTGTGTGGCCTGGGTGAGAATTAGGAGGATGACACTGAAGACAGCTACCCATCAAACAAAGGTTCTGCTCTCTTCGCGCATGGTTTTGTATGGCACAATCTGTCTCCCAGCTCCCGCAAGACGTGGTTGTCTTAGCCTTGGAGATTAGCAGGGTTTGTGTAAGGCTAAGAGCCTATGGAATCCCCAGGCTCCTTTTCCTTGCAGACCAGAGCTGTAGACAATTGCTCCATCCTGATTGCTTGGAAGATCAGTTTGCAGGCCAGACAGGGCCACAGACAAGAAAGGAGGCAAATACTTCTAATCCATCCATGTCATGTCAGGGATAAGTGAGCATTGATGTTTTTATGGACATGCATAACAGCCGGGGGTAGGGAGTGACTACACATAGTTAGCTCTAAATATATACAAAATAAACACAGTAAGCCCTCAATATTTGCAGATTCAACCAACAACCAAACATAGGCAAAAAAAAAAAAAAAATTATCCCCCAAATTGAATCTGTACTGAACATGCACACTTTAGTTCCTTATAAATATCTTCTAAATAATAAATAAGGATTTACGTTGTATTCACGAAGTATCAAGTGTTACAAGTGACCTAGTGATGATTTCAGGTGTATGAGGGGGATGTGTATGGGTTTCATGTAAAGGCTATACCATTTTGTGTATGTAGAGTTGAGCTTCTGCAGGTCTTAGTACTCCTGGGGGACCTAGAACCAATCCCTGGTGGATACTGAGGCACAACTCTAGTTCCCTGTAGCTAAAGTGAACTTCCCAGCTGACTCATGTTACACCATTGCAAATCCCTGCTTATCTTTCAGATCACAGATGAGAGAATGAAAATAAGTCCAAGAACTTGATACCACTGAGGCAGATTCTCCCTCTGCTTCTTGTACTTGCCAAGCAATCCTTGAATGTATTCTTTTATAATAAAAAAGACTGGACACATCCTATGCAAGGGGGAATCTAGGTGGATGTACAGGAATCTGAGTGTCAGTTCCTAAATGGATATTGCTAGTGAAGGGTTCCAACAGTTTGTTGGCAATGCTGTTGGCTGTTTTATTTCTTTAAGCTTTAACTCATTCCCTTATAAAGTCAGAGTATTGAAAGAGATCCCCTGTAAAATATTTTAAGCTGTAAAAATACAGATTTCTACGTTTCTAGATGTTCTTTCCCCCAGGAATTGGATATACAAGGGAAAACATCAAGGTTTCAGCAACAGAGATACCAGGAAGTTTTACTTCTTATTTTCTAGATTGATCCACTAGAAATATTGGCTATAGATCTCTGTAGTTTTTAACATTAAAAGACTTTTTTTCTAGGGGCCGGCACTGTGGCTCAGCAGGTTAAAGCCCTGGCCTGTAGCCTCATCATCCCATATGGATGCCAGTCCATGTCCCAGCTGCTCCACTTCCAATCCAGCTCCCTGAAAATGTGCCTGGGAAAGCAGTAGAAGATGGCCCAAGTCCTTGGGCCCCTGGTCTCACGTGTGAGACCCAAAGGAGGCTCTTGGCTCCAGGCTCCAGGCTCCAGGCTTTGGATCGATTCAGCTTTGGCGCTTTCAGTCATTTGGGGAGTGAACCAGCAGATGGAAGACCTTTCTCTGTGTCTCTACCTCTCCCTGTAACTCTGTCTTTCAAACAAATAAAAATAAATCTTTACAAAAAGATTTTTTTTTTCTGGGCACATCTCATCATGGTGGATAACCCTTACACGTTCACAGCTCTACCCCCTTTGCTGGCATCATATGCGGCACATGGTCTAAGCTCTGAATATGCATTGAACAAATAAGACAGTGAAATAGGGAACAAACCCATGTCCCTGAATAGTGCTGTCTTCATTCGGCACAGGTGACAATCAGGAGACGCGACACACCCACAGCAAGTGAATGAAAAAGAGATCTCTGGGGATCAAATTTAACTTTCTGGTAAAAGGTGAAATGCTTCAGACCACACTCAGGTTACAGAGCTTTGCACAGTGTCCCACATACGTCACAGCCAATGACATCTTTATTCAGTGCCCCTACTGACCTTTTGTGACCAGTGAGACCTCCTGCCGCGTGGCCAGCCCTGAAGCCCTGTATGAAGTCAGGGAATCCCAAAGGCACAGCTTGTTTGGGAAGCCAGGAGAATGGATCCCTGGTACCTGCTCACAGCGGGAAAGCAATGTCTCTTTCTCCATGCAAGTGCAAACAGTGCTGTTCATGCCCAATTAAAGACCTGCCTTTCGTGCGGTCTGTTCACCTATTACACCCAACGCTCTTTTTTCTACCATGATCAAAGGGTTCAAGAGGTGAAACCCACAGCTCCTTGTCTGTGTTGAAAGAGGACAATCCACTTTTCATTTCTGGAACAGAAAATATATGGAGGGGGCACGTCCAGCTCCTATTGGCTCCTCTCATGCCTGCTGTCTTCTGAGCTGTGTATCACACGTCTCAATACGTAAAAAGAAGAAAGAGAAAAAGAAAGAAAAACGAAAAGAAGGAGGGGAAAAAAAATCTCGGTTTCAAATAATGAGCATGTGTACCTTTTTGCCTGAGGCCTTCATACACAATTTAGCCAGGAAGCCAGGGTAGATCATGATTTAGCTTTTGACATCTCCTGCCTCCAGGCCAGGAGAGACTAATACCGATTTCTGACTCTGAGCACGCCACTGGAAAAAAAAGTGAGAGAGAAAGAGGCCTTTTATTGACTAAATGATAAAGAGGTTTGTAATGATAAATAACAGTCATTTTATTGTGGAATTCCCCAGAAAAAGATGCATTCTGCAGTGTCCGAAGGAGCCTAAGAGCCGAGGTTGGTTCCCCATGGAGCCGAACCTGTTAAACTCCAATTTTTACAGCAAGGGATGGGGGTCACGAATTGCGGGCACCTCTGGCTATTAAAACCACCCACCCGCTGTCGGTGGCCGTGGTGCTGGCTCAGTGCTTCTTGGCTCCAGGAAAATCACCAGCGGCTGCATCCCGAGGTGGCTGGTCCGCAGCGCAGCCTTCGGTCAGCATCTGTCTGTCGGCGTCACCTTCTCCGGCTCCACGCGCTCAGGTTCTGATGTAATTCCACAGCTTCCAAGCTTGGGCTGCTGGAGAAATCACTGCCAGATTTGATCGATAGTTTAATTGTAAACTTGGGGAACAATAATGGATAATTTGGCTTGAACCGTCCATGATGAGCAATGCTGTCTGGGAGAGAGCCTTCAAAATTAAACAAGAGTTGGGCCACATTATTGCATTTGTACAACTCACCCAGAGTTAAATAAATCCCCCTTTACAAATGCTGTCTTGGCATTCTATGGCGTTCAATAAACATAGGGCCAGGCAGAGGGTAAGAGGGAAGAAACAGCACATGAGCTCACATTTAAACTATTCAACTTCTGGTTTCTTCTAAAAATATTATTATTGTTATATTACCACAATAATTCTTTAAAATACTCTTTGAATAATGAAAATGCTAAATAAATGGATGGGTTATTTTCAGGGCTTTTCAAAAAAATAGAAATGGAAGCCAATGAATTAAGGCAAGTTAAATGTAAATTAGCTACAGATAAAAAAAAAAAATCCCTACAACAGCCATGGTGCTAATGACTACCACTCACTAGACTTTGCAGAAAAATACACAAGGCCATTTGGGCAACAATTGGTTTTTTAATTACAAATGTTAAGAAATAGCAAAAGAGAAACAATTCATTATTATTTCTACTAATACATTATTAAGTGTGGAAAGCGGCATATTATATTTGAGATTTAAACCAGCAAGCCTCAAACTAGGGTTTGTCTATCCCTGTAGAAATCATTAGTAACCTGTGTCAGCTCTGCAAAGTACTTGTCCTTAGATAAACTCTGCACATCTAACCTCGAGACTCAGACACAGTGAATCTGGTGACAGTAAGGGACTCTGCTCCGATATTCACTGATGGCCTGACTTGATGTCTCGCAGGAACATTTTTTCCAGATAAATGATAAGCGGGAGATTGATGAGTAGGATCATGCAGAAGAGGGAGGATCTACCAAGAGTCTGCACAAAGTTCATGGAAGACACACATGTGTGGATTTCAAAAAAAAATTTCCCACCAAAATGAACTTATCTTTGAATTATATTTTCCCATAAATTTTTTGAAATCCCTTTGTATAATGCAGAGGTAAACATTAGAGCTTTATAGGATCCAGGTACCAATTCTGTGACTTCCCAGCTGTGTGACCCTGACAAGCTGCTTAAATTAGCTGTGCCTCTGTTTATTCATATTATAAATGAGGATAATAATGGCCCTCACATAATTAAGTTATAATCAACATCAAATAAATTATTATTATTTTTTTTAACAGGCAGAGTGGACAGTAAGAGAGAGACAGAGAGAAAGGTCTTCCTTTGCCGTTGGTTCACCCTCCAATGGCCGCCGCAGCTGGCGCGCTGCGGCCGGCCCACCGCGCCAATCCGATGGCAGGAGCCAGGTACTTCTCCTGGTCTCCCATGGGGTGCAGGGCCCAAGCACTTGGGCCATCCTCCACTGCACTCCCGGGCCACAGCAGAGAGCTGGCCTGGAAGAGGAGCAACCGGGACAGAATCCGGCGCCCCAACCGGGACTAGAACCCGGTGTCCCGGGGCCGCAAGGCGGAGGATTAGCCTAGTGAGCCGCGGCACCGGCCAAACATCAAATAAATTAATATAGGCAAAGCACTCAAAAACAGCAGGAGGTTTATATTAACTGCTGGCTTGAAGAATATTAATAATAATGATGATCATAGTTTTTTTCTTATAAAAATGGTGATTGTCAGTTTTCCACTTACAAAAAAACTTTACATTTCTCATTTCTTTTGTGTTGGTATAAGAGACTTTCTTTGACATAATTTTATTTTCCAATTTATATTCAGTGTCAGGTTCTTTACTGAAGCCAAGATTCTAACTTGTAGGTATTAGGATGAAAGGGTGGTGAAATAGCCTGTGATACAGGCACCGGATTCTATTCTCTCTGTCCAGTAACATCACCATGACTGGTAGGATAGTAAATTACCTTGCAGGTAAGTTGTAAATTTCAAACTCCATTAGTTCTAGCCACTTACATTCTTCCCTTTTAAACACCTCTGTGATGGTGAGCTTTATTTTGTCCCCAGAACAATCCCAAAATTTATGGATTAATTCCAAATCAAAGAAGCCATATAGAAGAGGCGTGGTTATCAGCATACGCACTGGGGTCAGATTATGTTGTCTGGATTCCAGCTTCGCTATTGACAGCTGCTGGTCACGTTGTTAACGACTCTGAGTTCCACTTTTCTCATTTGTAAGATGAAGATCACGTTACCAACCTTTTAGGAGAGTTATAAGAATTAAAATCAATCAAAGGTGTAAAACTCTTTAGCACAACTGTGGAAGTTGTGGAAAGATTATTTTTGTGAATATTTTAAATGTTTCCCTCCTTATTTATTTGAAAGTCGCCTGGGGCGGGGGGAGAGACGTCTTCCATACTGGTTCACTCCCCAGATGGCTACAACTTCCAGGGATAGACCTGGTTGTATCTAGAATTGCGTCCTGGTCTCCCACATGGGCTGCAGAGGCCCAATCAGCCAGGACCCAAATGGACACTCTGATATGGATGTTGGCATCGCAAGCAGCAGCTAAACCCACTGAGCCATAACACTGGTCCCAAAGTTTATTTTAAATCAATAAATCTTTCTACCAACCAGAACCCGAGTTTTTTCTATAATGGCTCTACATCATTCCTGAACTCAGTTTACCCACATGCTCTGCTTCTGCTAATGGGGCTTGTGCCTATGTCTACAAAAGTTAGTACAACTTGCCCAATATGCTAGCTTTTAGTTTAAATAACAGAGACATGCTTAACCTTTCTAGAGTCCACATCACTAGCATTCCAAGAATCTATGCCATTTGCATCTAGTAAATAAGTCAAGGCAAACTTACACTGTACTAAGACAATTATAGTGCTTAGAGAAATAACAGTAGCCTTAGCTGTCAATGGTTAAAATCCATCGGGAAGATGAGACTTAAGCTATGAAGAAGTACCATGAAAAACTGAATTAGGTATAGAGGAGAGATACCAGATGAGAAAAGTCCTAGAAACCACAGTCCCATAAGAATTATTATAAGGAAAACCCGGAGAAAATTTCAGGCTCCTAGACAATTTGACAGCTTTGAAGGGCTGTGATGGAAAGTAAATATGAAGCCTCTTTAGAAAACTCATAGACAATGCACACTCTCTTTTAATTCTGTTTCTCCATGAACTTTTTTGAAGCTCCTTTGTACATGGTCGGAGCCAACACCAAGAGAAAGCAGAATGTTTCTGACAGTACTTTAAGCATCAGTGAAAGAATCTGCCCCAGAAAGAAAAGATACCCCTGTCCCTGGAGGCTGTGTGATGTGCCACTGCAGGGGTTGACATGGAGAGTTTTACTTTAAGGAGAAGTGTGGGATTAGATGGTTCCAAATGTGATTCCAACCCTCTGACTTGATGATCCGATCACCCTGCAGGGAATTAGTGCCTTGGGGAGCTTTGTGGAGTCTCAGAAGCCAGTACTGCTAAATGGATCTGACATCTAGAGGCAAGGAGCATGTAAATGTCTCCTCCTTCTCTCAGAATCCCTCCTGTGGCTCAGGTGCGGAAGTTTTCTTTGTGAACCATCACAAGGTGAAGAGGCAACAGCAGCAACAACACATAGAGGGATCGCAGTACGAGAGCGCTTCAAAAGTCTCATAGAAGATGGATTGAAAATATAAGTTTATTTTAGTGCAAATCGTTTCAAATCCATGCATATAACGGGGTCTTCAGAAAGTTCATGAAAATACATGTTATGGAAAAAACTATGCATAGATTTCAAAATTTTCATACCAGAATAAGTTTCTCTTTTAATTTTATTTCTCCATGAATCTTTAAGTCTCCACCTAAGAGGTCTGACTCCTTGAAGAATGCTTCTCTTATTCTGGCAACAGAGAATGCAAAAAATGTTTTAATTTTCATTAAAATTAGCAGCATAATGATACTTCAGTGTAAAGTGTCTCTGTAGAATGAATATTAAACTATTGAAAAAACATTCAGACACTTTCAACTGGAGGGTTCAAAAATCTGCTTTGCTCTATTTGAGAAAATCTTCACTCAGATCCTATTTTTTCTTAATTCTTCAAAGCTCTCCTTTGTTATTTATAAATAACAAATAATTTTATAACAAATAATTTAAAACAAATAATTTATGAATAACAAATAATAATTTGTTTTCAAAGCTCTCCTTTGTTATTTATGGATCTTCCCATTGATAGAGACATCAAATGCCTCCCACAACCAGATTTAATCGTAGATACCCTCTCCTCTTCTTCTTTTTGTAGACATTTGATTTAGCTTCACGCACACAGAAACTCAGGATGGATAAGCTATTCTCTGCATTGTTATTGACAAATACTTACTTGTTATTGCAATAGACTATGACAATAAGTTATTTGTTATTGACCAAATTTTGACAGTGCCATAAAGTATTTTAACTTGAACTGACACAAGAGTAGATGATCAGGCAGTCATTTCTCCTAAATAATACCCAGGGGGTGCCCAAGATACTCTTTTCCCAGAATAAAGAACCCTTGGGGGATTTGAGATGAAGGACCATTACTAACAAGATGCAACCACTCAGTAAGATTTTTATCAAACATACTATATTAAAAATGCATGTGAAATTGGAATGTTTGCAAACATGTGCTGACATTTTTGATCCTTTACAACACAACAAATTAAGGTGCTCACCCTGGGAAGGTCTGCTAAAAATACTTCTTCTACATGGCCTACCGACCGGATGACTGACACTTGTGTGAATCAAGCAAATTAAATCCCGTGGTCAGAAGTCTTCAACCTGCATGTGACCAAACCGGAGGCGTGCTGAGCATCCTCAGGGCAGTCGGGCAATGCAGCTTTGGGGCTGAATCAATGGCCTGACTATTATTTGTGAATGTTGTGCTTTTCTTTCGAAGGCTTGAATTTTGGAAACCGGTTGACTTTTTTCAACAGTAAGTTAAAATGGCCAGTTCATGTATGTTCAGTTTGTCTTGTAATTAGCAGGATTTCATTAAAGTGGACTCTTGAGATTTTTATTTCACATCTCTTCCCTTCCCACACCCACCCCTGGAATTTAAATCCTATGACAGCTTCCTTCACAGCAACCAAACATACCAGTTCTGAGTAGGTTTCCTAGAACAAGGGTCT